TCTCTCTCTCTCTATATATATATATATATATATATATATATTTGAAATGAAATACTATAATAGCATATCAGTGGTACTAAAATAACACTTAACTGCAATATTCCATTAAAAAAATGAACCTTGGAAAAAATGCAGCAGCCAATTAACATTGTTACATATTATGAAATTTGTCTCATGAAAGAAGCTTCTCTGTCATGAGAAAACGTTCAGAAAGCTTTGCTCCTTTATGCCTCTCCTTTCTGGTCTTCTCTCTCTGTCTCTCTCTCTCTCTCTCTCTCTCTCTCTCTCTCAGTAGATGTTAGTGAAGCATCAGGACTGAAGCTCTGGATCAGCTGAGGGAAGGGCTTGCTTTCTTTGCTCATCTCTTGGTATTGCAGGGCTTTATAATGATATGATTGGGGGTCACTGAGCTTCAGATGTTTCCAGAATTTAATTGCCCTTTTTTGTATCTTTATGATTAGAGGATATTTGCCTAATTCTGCCCTGCATGCGTTATTTGTTGTGTGCCGGTGCATGTGTAATATATTTTTACAGAGCTCTGCATGCAGGGTCTCAATTGGATGTTTTTCCCATTTGGTGAAATCTTGATTTGAAACCTTCCTCCCTCTCTCTCTCTCTCTCGCTCTCTTCCTCTCTCTCTGCTTGTCTCAGCTGTGTCATATATTTAGTAACTGTGTGTAGTGGGCGGTGCAGGATGCGTAGGCTGATGGTGGTGTGTGTGTGTGTGTGTGTGTGTGTGTGTGAGAGAGCCGAGAGCTCAGCATATGTTCTGAGTCAAGCTGCCACCTCCACAGCTGTGTCATTGCCTTTCCTCCCATCCACATCATTCGCTGCAGACTGTCATCTTCATGTTTGGTGCTGTAGTGGTTTTTGTGTTTTACTCTGGGCTGGACGAGTGCTCTTTGGCAGTCATCCGTCCATGAAGAGCCCCGTCTGACAGCATCATGTGCCTGTGGTAACAAGGACACAAAGGCCTTTGAGCCAGTTACCGGAAACAGGAGTGTGGGAAATCGGGCTTGCGATGATGTCACTCGGTTTGAAACAAGAGACTTTGGGAGTAATAGTCATTTGTATCACAAGTGGTTCTTTTATTAGTGCTCTTTGCTAAGCCATCACTGTTTCTGTTGCTCATATTTATAGATTTGAGCAAAGCCATAACCCTCAGTGTTAAACTTCAGCACAGCTCGTCCTACGCTGTTTGTGCTACAGACATGAATGAGGAGAGCTGTGCTGGGATCAGACTTGAAGATGCACAACCATTCAAAAGTTTGGGGTCATTTGTTATTATTATTATTTGAAGTAAAGAAAGAAATTAATACTTTTATTAAGCAAGGACCAATGTATTGATCAAAAGTGACAGTAAGACATTTATAATGTTGCAAAAGATTTCTATTTCAAATAAATGCACAAATAATCCTAATATATATATATATATATATATATTAGACCTAGATATATTTGACCAAATATAAGTAAAATATGTAAAATGGCTTAAAATTAATATAAAAAGCACAATAATATTACTAAAACTTAAAAATGAAATCTAAAAAGAGAACTGATGATAAAAATAAAATAACATCTGTCCAAGTCAGATATTTAGAGGTCAGTGGCATATTTTTATTTATTTTGGCAAATGAGGATTTATTTATTTATTCTTTCTATTTATTTATTTATTTATTTATTCTTTCTATTTATTTATTTATTCTTTCTATTTATTTATTTATTATTTTATTTATTTATTTATTCTATGGTGTTGGTGTGCTTGACTGGCCAGCAAACTCACCAGACCTGAACCCCATGGAGAATCTATGGGGTATTGTCAAGAGGAAAATGAGAAACAAGAGACTAAAAAATGCAGATGAGCTGAAGGCCATTGTCAAAGAAACCTGGGCTTCCATACCACCTCAGCAGTGCCACAAACTGATCACCTCCATGCCACGCCGAATTGAGGCAGTAATTAAAGCAAAAGGAGCCCCTACCAAGTATTGAGTACATGTACCTTCAAACCCCTCCAACCAAAAGAGAATTGAGACACCCCTACCCCATCATGTGAACGCGCAAAACGGAGGGGTAGGGGAAAGGGGAAGGGCTAAGGGGTAGAATTGGGATTGGGCCTTAAACTACTTCAGTCTGTGTGCATTGAATTTATTTAATACACGAGTTTCACAATTTGAGTTGAATTACTGAAATAAATGAACTTTTCCACGACATTCTAATTTATTGAGATGCACCTGTATATGGCAGATTACTTAATAATTTTTTTTTAAAATATTTATAGAATGTGTTTGATATTTTTCTTCTCCTTTAGTCGATTGTCATACCTGCAAAATTTACTGAAAGAAAATCTCCCCATGGGTTAGTAAATATGGTCTCCCAGAAGAGATATTGTCTACATTTGGATCAAAACTGTGTCAAAACTATCTCCATTGAGCATCTTTCTTAATTTGTCTCCAGGACACGTCTTTACAGAAATGTACCATAGTTTTATGCTAAGATTCTACATTTACTAATAAAATTAGTTTATTTAAAACAATAAAAGTATTAATAAATAAATGGCTTAGTATAAGTACTTATTAGAATCAGTTATTATTAATAAATGAATAAATGAAATTAAACAGAAGGACTGACTGATTGAGATCCGGTATGGTTGTTTTTTGTTTTTTTTCATAATTGCTGGTCTTATAATGTAGAGAAAGAGTTTGCTTGCTCTCTAAATGCATTTGATGTAAATCCATTATGCATAAGTGTTTCTCGTGTCTCATGATAGAGTCATATCATCAGGAAATAAGCGTGTCCATTAAGAGCACTGCATATTTCCGCAGATTTGCCCAGCTGAGGAGCTTAAATCTCTCTCACAATGGGCTGGGCGTCTTCCCGGAGTCGCTGTGTGAGATCCAGACACTGACGGAGCTCTATCTGTCCTGCAACGGCCTCAGTGCTGTCCCGTCCCACCTCGAAAACCTCCAGAGGTCAGCACACATCACACCACCTTACTGTGCACCAGTGTTCATTTCGTTGACTCATAATTTTCGTCAATGATATTTTTTTCACCGACGACAACGAGAGGATAATGAACTAAAACTCTTTTTGAATGACAAAAACTATGACGTAAATCTGTTGACATTTTTGTCAACTAATAAAAACGAGACGAAAATGTTAGGGAGGGACGATTTGGGAAGAGATTCATTCAGAACGAATCTGCTGCGTGGTTCGGAGGTTAGATGCGTACATAAGAACCGGCGGGACATAAGCTAACATACACTTGCTGCACGACTAAAACTAGACTAAAACTAAAAACAATTCAGATGACTAAAATATTACAAACTAAATGGCATTTTAGTCAAAAGACTATGACTAAACCTAAATCAAAATTTGCTGTCAAAATTAACACTGCTGTGCACAACACACCGTCTGCGGCTGCTCTTTTGGCCAGACTTTAACTAGATAATTATATACCGTTGTTTGTTTGTTGCTGTTGCTGGAGCTGATCTAAAACAGAAAACATGTTCTCGTTTAGTTGAACTCAAATTTCAAGTCCTTGCTCCTTTTTGTTCCTGCCAAAGTGACGTGCACAAAGTGCACAAATGTGCCGTGTAGGTCATTTGAAAAACATTGCACAACATAATGAGAGCGATTATGGGTTATAATCTAAATAATCCTTTGATTTGCATGATTGTGTTTAAAATATTCAGTGCTTTATAGCACCGCTGCTCCTGTAATTACGGTCAGCTGTATTCAAGTGCGTCTGTCAAATGAACTTCTTTTTTTCACCTAAATGAGCCGGTGAAATTCATGAAGTTCAGCCGTGCATACTACGCTAGCAGATTAAATCAAGCATAAAAATCAGCCTAGTTTTACTGCTCTCAGCTCAGCTTTATATATGAGGTGCTCTGAACATGACGGAGGCCTGCAGTGGAGTTATTATATTATATTATATTATATTATATTATATTATATTATTCCGAATGAATGAAATCTCTAATTATGTTGCTTTAATAAGTTAACCATTATAAAATGTATTATTATATTATATTATATTATATTATATTATATTAGAGATATGATGAAAAAAGACACCAATGCTCAATAAATAATTACATTTATTAATAATAATATGTATACATTTGGCCGTTAATAAAAAAATGGTTCATATAACAAACATAGTTATTCGGCATAACTGTAGCTGTAACATTGTAGATTTGCTATATGGACAAAAGTTTGTATACATAAAAGGTCTGGGACAAGGATAAAACAATAAAAATTCTATTGTAATGTTTTTTTTGTAATGTTATAAAAGAAGTTCAAATCTGTTAATTTTAATAAAAATATCCATGCCTCTAAATATAAACAATAATGACAACCATGTAAAAACTAGCATCTTTAATATCATAGTAACCGCTTTATAATTTTCCATATTTTAAAGCGGGTCTGTTTGGCTGTGATCTGCTCAGCTTACAGACGCTGTGTTTGGATGGGAATCGCTTGGATTCTCTTCCGGAGGAGCTGGGCAGCCTCGCGCAGCTCTGCAGCTTGGGACTCTCCTTCAATGACTTCCCTCACGTCCCCGGCGTGGTGGAGCGCCTCTGTGCCCTGGACAAGCTGGCGATGGCGGGGAACCAGGTGGAGACTCTGGATCTGTTCAGCCTGCTACGAATGACTCACATTAAGAGTATTGATTTACGGTGAGCCATTAGAAACATCTTCCTCTTATCTATCTATCTCTGTGCGTCATGCTGTCGGCTTTACCTGCCTCCATCTCCTTCTGTTCCTCCTCTCTCTCTCTCTCTCTCTCTCTCTTCTGTCTGTCACCTGTCTGTGTGTTATTACAGTCTCAGCTCAGACTTTATGCATAATGCAGGATCAATATACAATAGTAATGTAATAAGATCAGCTATCAGTAAATCACAGAGGTGACAGCAGCACAGCTCTGTTCCGTGGCTCTGTCACACGCAGCCAGACTGACATAGAAAACATAGCAAACTGTGGCTGGATGCTTTACATGTTGTATATGGGCAGTGAAATAGATCATACTACAATAATAGATTGATGTAAAAAATTGTTTAAATAATAATATGACTATCTAGCAGACAAGCAGAAAATGTTTATAGATACTGATTGTTCACAGACCTAACTCAGAAAACAAAGCAGAATGTACAGAATGTACTTTTTTGACTTTGACTTGGCCACTCCAAAACCTTCATTTTGTTTTTCTTGAGCCATTCAGAGGTGGTCTTGCTGGTGTGTTTGGGATCATTGTCCTGTTGCATAAACCAAGTGCGCTTGAGCTTGAGGTCACAAACTGACGGCCGGACATTCTCCTTCAGGATTTTCTGATAGAGTGCAGAATTCATTATGGCAAGTCATCCAGGTCCTGAAGCTGCAAAGCAGCACCAGACCATCACACTACGACCAGCATGTTTGACTGTTGCTATGATCTTTTTATGAAATGCTGTGTTGGTTTTACGCCAGATGTAAATCTTTAATCATGCTTCACTTTGTCAGACAGCTTCTATTGAAGTGATTTCTTCAGGTCTGGCAGTAATCAGGCCTGGGTGTGGCTAGTTAAATTTAACTCAGCTTTCTAAAATAATGTGGTTATTTCTGGGTTCTTTTATGAGCTCCTGGATGAGTCGTCGTTGCTCTCTTGGAGTAATTATGGTCGGCCGGCCGCTCCTGGGAAGGTTCATCACTGTTCCAAGCTTTCTCCATTTGTGGATAATGGCTCTGACCGTGGTTCGCTGGAGTCC